CTGCACAGAGTGAATCTTGTCTCAAAAGGAAAAAAAAAGTCCCAGATATTACTTCTGTCTCGATCTCATTGTCTGCTATGTAACTACATCTAGTTGCAAGAGAAACTGGTTTTTTGTTTGTTTTTTGCTTTTTTAAGAGACGAGATCTCACTGTGCTGCTCAGGCTGGTCTTGAACTTCTGGACTCAAGCCATTTCCCTGCACTGCCGTTAGCCTCCTAAAATGCTGAGATTATAGGCATGAGCCATGGCTCCTGGCCAGATGTTGGTAAATTATAGTGTTTTAACTAGTAGGATGGGGTGAGAGGCACAATATATCTGTCTTTAAAATAGAGTTTTATCTTTTTTTATTTTCAAATAATACAGATTAACAGACAGTTACAAAAGATAATACAGAGAGGTCCCATCTACCCTTTCAGTTTCTTCCAGTGTTTAAACACCTTATATAACTATAATATGATATCAAAACTAGTAAATTGACAAAGTATATATAATTTCTGTGTTATTTTATCATGTGTAGATAAAATACAACTGCAACAGTGGAGATATAGAACTATTGGCAGACACAGAAAGAAAAATACTGCTTGATCTCACTTATATATGGAATCTTAAAAAAAGTATCTAGAAACAAGGTAAAACAGTGGGTGTTAGGAGTTGAGAGGGGAAGGAAATGAGGAGAGAGTCAAAGGACACAAACTTGCAGTTATGAGTGATGAATAAGCTTGGAGATCTAATGTATGGCATGAGGACTCTAGTTAGTAACACTGTATTCTATACTGAAAATTTACTAAGAATAGATTTTGGGTGCCCTTACTACCCCCCCCCCCAAAAAAGTAACTATGGAAGGTGCTGGATAGGTTAATTAGCTTGAATGTAGTAATTACTTCACTATGTGTGTGTATGTGTATATATATGCCACACACATAGATATATACACACACACAGCACAAGTTGTATCTATATACATCATGTTGTATATATAAACATCGTATTGTATACCTTAAATACAGTTTTTTTTAAGATATAGAACTCTTTCATCACCACAACAATCTTCCTCATGCCATCAAAAAATAATGAGTAGCCGGGCACGGTGGCTCATGCCTGTAATCCCAGCACTTTGGGAGGCCAAGGCGGGTGGATCACGAGGTCAAGAGATCGAGACCATCCTGGTCAACATGGTGAAACCCCGTCTCTACTAAAATACAAAACAGTAGCTGGGCATAGTGGCGTGTGCCTGTAATCCCAGCTACTCAGGAGGCTGAGGCAGGAGAATTGCCTGAACCCAGGAGGCGGAGGTTGCAGTGAGCCGAGATCGTGCCATTGCACTCCAGCCTGGGTAACAAGAGTGAAACTCCATCTCAAAAAAAAAAAAAAAAAGTAATGAGTGATTTTAGTTTGAGAATTAACTGGAAAATGGATGTTTTATTAGGGAACTGGTGATTTATCTTGTATTATTTTAAAAAACAAAGAAATGGGGGGTAGTTGCTTATAAATCTCTTGTATCACTAGCTAATCTGTTTGTTGAATCTTAATAACTTTTACTGTTAACAGTGATGAGGAAGAGAAACAGAATACTGTTTCTTTTCTCTTATTAGGTTTGGGGAGTTGTAATTGGACACAAAATAAATGTAAACCTATACATAATAATAGTAACAGCTAATAACTTAGAGAATGCCTTCTATATGCCAGACCCTGTTCTGTTAACTCATTGCATCTTCACCTCAACCCCTGTGAGGCAGGCATTGTTATCCTCCCCATTTACGAGTGAGAGCACCTTGTATTTTAATAATTACTCTGTGGTAATGCAATATTGGTACTTAAAAATATATTATGTAAATGGAAATAATGGTATATTCTGTGTCATATTGTAATATGTGACACCAATAGAATGCTTTCTTTTTCAAATTCCATTAGAGATTCAGTTGTGGAAATTCTTTTTGAACAAGATAATGAAGAGAAATCAGTTGCCACTTTAATATTGGATTCCCTTATACAGGTATTTTATCTTGTCAAAAAATTCCCTTTATTATCACAGTCCTTTAAAGAAAAATTTTAAATGTTATTTTAGGCAACTAGCAATCCTTGTCATATGTTATTTTTAAAAATAAAGAAATTTGGGGTCTGGGTGTTTGTTTTAAATACCTTGTGTCAGCAACTAATCTGCTTGTTGAATTTTATTAACTTTTACAGATTATCATTCCCTCTTTTAACTTTTTAAAACTTTTATTTTGAAATTTTGTAGCTAATAAGTTTTACTTTGGCACCGAGAAATGGTACCTACAGCATTCCAAACCCCAGGAATTAATGAGTGCCATGGACATGTGCATTATTTTAAGAACAGGGACCAGATTTTTATTTTGTTTTGTACCTAGTGTGGCTTGTAGTTTGTTCCAGTTCAGGATTGTATAGTATTCAGTTTTAAATTCCACAGGACATATGGTAATAATATGTTTCTTTTGTTTAATGACTGTGTAATTATAGGACTTCATGTGAAATACCATTGCCTTTGAAGATACTTTTTACCTCAGGGCTCCATTCATTGAAGGAGCTTATCATTGTTAATTCTTAAAGAGAACTGATGTAGAAACATAATTTTTTTAGAAGTGTTATCTTCCCACTTAACAACTGACACCATGAATATGCCTTAGAAAAATGAAATTTCCACATACTTCCCTTACCCCCCAAAAAAGAGAAGTTATTTCGTCTCATGCTTTTTGCCCAACTTAATCATTGCTACCCTGAAAATGAGAACACTTACATATTACTGCCATATGCCTTATGGAATGTAAAATCCTATGCTATTAGAGTCTAAAATATCTTAAAATCTTTAAAGTTTTATGTATATATTTGGCAGTATTTTCATAGTGGTTATATTCGTTACATGAAAGAAACCTTGCTGTGGCCCTTTTTATGATACAAACGATCACCTATTTAATCAGTAGTACATACTTCTGTATGTTTTCTTAAGTTCAGCCAAGCATTATTTGTACGGTTCAGAATAAAGCCTTCTTTTTCTCTTTCTTTTTAATAACAGTGTCCAATAGACACCAGGAAGCAACTAGCGGAGAATTTGGTAGTCATAGGTGGCACTTCTATGTTGCCAGGATTTCTCCACAGATTGCTTGCAGAAATACGGTATTTGGTAGAAAAACCAAAATATAAAAAAGTACTTGGCACTAAGACATTTCGAATTCATACTCCACCTGCAAAAGCTAACTGTGTGGCCTGGTTAGGAGGTAAGAGTTTCACTTTTAAAATATAATAATTATATAGTTATTGGTCTCTGAATGACACTATTAATGGATATATTATAATAAATCATTCAGGGTTCAGAATTGTCCATTTTATAAATAGAAATAACATTGACTTTTTCTTAAACTAATTTTCAGAATTTTATATCTATTTCTCTCAACATTTACACTGTGATATTAAGTAAACTTCCTCATTTAAAGTCATCCCTCAGAATAGTGAAAACTTTGAATTTATTCTAGTGATGCTACCATTTCTTAAAACATTTGATGTCTTCCAAAGCTAGTGAGCCACGTATGAAAACTGATCTCTTTGTTTTATAACTATACTTTTTTGTGACTGAATTAAATTACTTAAAACATTCATTAAATGTTTTAAGTAATGATGGTTTTACTGAAATAAGAAAATAACCTAATAAGTACAGTTGACCCTTGAATAACATGGGTTTGAATTATGTGGGTCTACTCATGTGTAGTTTTAGAAAATATGTTGGAAAAATTTTTGGAGATTTGCAACAATTTGAAAAAACTCACAGACAAACCATGTAGCCTAGAAATATAAAAAAAAAATTAAGAAAAAGATACGTCATGAATGTATAAAAACTATATATGTAGATACTGGTCTGTTTATGTGGTAATTGACTATGTTATTGGTAAGACTTCTCAGTCAACATTAGACTATAAGTAGTAAAGTTTTGGGGGAGTCAGAAGTTATGCATGGATTTTCAACTGCTTGGGGGTCCACATCCCTAATCCCTGCATTGTTCAAGGGTCAGCTGTAACTATGAAAGGAAAAGCAATCATGAATGTGTACATTTATATATGTTCTGATATGTGTTTTATGATGCAGTTAGAGCTAATAGATATCAGGATTGTACATTGAGAGAGAAAAATTAGTGTGACATTTTAAAACGAATGTTACATTATTTCTTGTAAAATAGAATTTGGTCAAAACATACTTTTGATCTAGGACAAACTGATTTAGTAACTGAATTATTTTTAAAAGACTGCCTTGTGGGTCTTAATAAAGTCTATATTGAATATAGAATGTTAGCACATTATAATGATGGTTAGTGGGTTTTGCAATACCATTTTATTTATTGATATGTAGCCTTAGTTGTGACAGAGAAAACTAAGGATTTTACTGATTGTATTTACACAAATTTGGAAATAACTCCCACCCCACTCTATCTCACTTGCTTTTAAATGCAATAATACTTATTACAATATTCACTATTATCTGTGAAAGGCCCTTTAAATTACTTTAACACAGGAGTTATGGCTTACCCTATTATTCAAAATATAAAATAAAGAATGGCTTCATTGGAATTACTTTGAAGATTGTGGCTATGCATTGCCACATTTTACCAGTCCACTCTTGTCATATAGTGAAGTAGATGTATATGTACATAAAGTTTTCTGGTAAAAGTTTTCATCTTAACTATAGAAAATATTTTTGTCACACAGGGGCTATTTTTGGAGCATTACAAGATATACTTGGGAGCCGTTCTGTTTCAAAGGAATATTATAATCAGACGGGCCGTATACCTGATTGGTGTTCTCTCAATAACCCACCTTTGGAAATGATGTTTGATGTCGGGAAAACTCAACCACCTCTGATGAAGAGAGCGTTTTCCACTGAAAAATAAAAGTTTGATTAAAAATAAACCTTGCTTTATTTCAAATGCTTAATCAATTATAAGCAAATTGTACAAAGTGTGTAGGATGTTTTGTTATAGAGGACTATAGTGGAAATGAAAGCATTGCTGTGTTTACTCTTTGCATTAATATTTAATTCTTTTGACTTTGTTTCCTTGTGTAGTGGTAAAATGGTAGCTGGTCCTTATTGAGATTTGTTGTATTTATATCAATAAAGTACAGTAAAGCCGTTTGATTTTGGAAGTTTGTTACGTAGCTTGTTTTTCAAAAAGAATGTTATTTCTCGGGGGCTGCCAAGGGAGGAGGAAGATGGCGGCGGGGGCGAGGTATTTTCAAAAGAAATAATTCCAGATTGATGGATGAAATTTTAAAACAACAGCAGGAACTTCTGGGCCTAGATTGTTCAAAATATTCACCAGAGTTTGCAAATAGTAATGACAAAGATGATCAAGTTTTAAATTGCCATTTGGCAGTGAAGGTGCTGTCTCCGGAAGATGGAAAAGCAGATATTGTGAGAGCTGCTCAGGACTTTTGCCAGTTAGTAGCCCAGAAGCAAAAGAGACCCACAGATTTGGATGTAGATATGTTAGGCAGTTTACTTAGTTCAAATGGTTGTCCTGATCCTGATTTAGTATTGAAGTTTGGTCCTGTGGACAGCACATTAGGCTTTCTTCCCTGGCACATCAGATTGACTGAGATTGTCTCTTTGCCTTCCCACCTAAACATCAGTTATGAGGACTTTTTCTCTGCCCTTCGTCAATATGCAGCCTGTGAACAGCGTCTGGGAAAGTAGTGGTCATAGGTTGCATAATTTGATTTTAGGCTTATGGAGGAAAGGACCCAAGTGACTCTGATGTTTACAAAGCAGCCTGTACACACCTAGTTCATAATCCTCATAATTTATCAGCAAATACAAAAAAGTGTCTTACTTGAGATTGAGTGTGTGTGTGTGTGTGTGTGTGTGTGTGCGCGCGCGCATGTGCACGTGCACATATGTGCACGTTTGTATGTGTGGAAATAAACTTATAAATGGGGATGTATTGGAGAAGGAAATACATAGACCTACGACTTTGAGCAGATAGCAGCGATGTTTTAGGAACTGGAATGTCACACTTAATGTCTTCAGCCCCAGCTACTTCCCTGTTTTTGTGGGGAGAAGAGGGCCTGATAGAACTTTTCAGGTTGTGTTTGATGGGAGGGGAATAATTTTTGTTCAGTCCTTCTTAGTGACCAAACTTTAATTTTTAAGAATAATATATTGACTTACTGAATTGAAGCATTCTGAGTTTAAAGGAGCTCCAGAGGCATGGAGTTCCGTGTTGCTCATGTGTTAAAAGCTTGCTCACCTTCAGAGAGAGCAGAGGGAATACCTATCTTCATATATCCGTCCATTTTCATCTCTGTTATAGTCAAACAGTGTGACTTGAGAGTGTTGCTCTGATGTCTGTATTCTGGGTTACGAAGATTATTTGAAAAATAACTCTTACTGCATTGAAATACAGACCTTAAAAAATTTAAATATTGGATTAGGCAGTCAAAAAAAGCAAACAAGCATAAAAGGTGAATATGTTGTAATCTTAAAAGTAAAGATGGAGAACTCATTTTAAAAGGAAAGAAAGTTTTGATTTCCTTTTTTGTTTAATGGGCAGCATGCTGTATTATACCCAAAGTTGATTTAAAAAATATTTTCATCAACTATTTTTATTTAAAATAAACATTTGAGGTAAGTTACTAAGGCAGCTTTTTTCCTCAAAAGTAACCTGTTACTCTTTGGAATAGCACATTTTAGGGCCGTGGTTAATACCTGAGACTTTTACTCAGTAAGTCCTGATGATTACTGTGTGTAAAAGGATTGAAGGCCTCTGTGGGGAATAAAATATTACCAAAGTCTATAAAAATAAATTTTACATATTCTCTTTTATGACAGAGAGCAGCGCCGGTTCTGTTATTTTTTAAATGAATAATTGATTTCTTGATAGGTGTCTTAAGATTTCTTCCCTCACTGCTGATTCTTAGATATAAACCATTCTTTATATTTGATAGACTATTTTCAGAAAACCCTTATCAACAAGTGTATAATAGTTATCTAAAACCATACATTTAGAATGGAACAGTTTAATACTAGACCTCAGAAGTTTGAAAAATAGCAAAGAAGACTGGATTTGAAAAGCATGGTCTACAATTCCTTGTCAAATTCTGAAGCTATGAAGGATAAATGTTTCAACGTTGGAATATGAAACCCCATTTATGATTTTTAAAATACACTTGAAATAAAAATGATTAAACTAAAAAAAAAAAAAAAAAAAAAAAAAGAATGTTATTTCTCCACAGTTCACATAACCTGTTCTGGTATCATTGATTTTATTTCTGGCAGTTACTCCATTTAAAGCATAAATCATGTTAACCATTACCTGTTATTTCAATTACTAACATGGGTCCATTAAAAAAAAACATTTTTGGCCGGGCACGGTGGCTCAAGCCTGTAATCCCAGCACTTTAGGAGGCCGAGGCGGGTGGATCATGAGGTCAAGAGATCGAGACCATCCTGGTCAACATGGTGAAACCCCGTCTCTACTAAAAATACAAAAAATTAGCTGGGCGTGGTGGCACGTGCCTGTAGTCCCAGCTACTCAGGAGGCTGAGGCAGGAGAATTGCCTGAACCCAGGAGGCGGAGGTTGTAGTGAGCCGAGATCGTGCCATTGCACTCCAGCCTGGGTAACGAGTGAAACTCCGTCTCAAAAAAAACAAAACCAAAAAAAACATTTTTTTTGAGACGGAGTTTCGCTCCTGTGGCCCAGGCTGGAGTGCAGTGGCATGATCTTGGCCCATCGCAACCTCCACCTCCTGTGTTCAAGCGATTCCCCTGCCTCAGCCTCCCGAGTAGCTGGGATAACAGGCATGCACCACCACGCCCGGCTAATTTTTTGTATTTGTAGTAGAGACGGGGTTTCTCCATGTTGGTCAGGCTGGTCTTAAACTCCTGACTTCAGGTAATCCAACCTCCTCAGCCTCCCAAAGTGCTGGGATTACATGCATGAGCCACTGTGCCCAGCCCTTAAAAAGTTCTTTATTTTGGTACTTGGGTGTCCATATTATAATAATGTTTTTCCAGAAATACACTTGATCTTTGGACTGAGAATGTTTGGTAATACAGTCAGGCATTTGTTAAGCAAAAGTGTGGAAATGTTCACTTTTTAACTTTACAGTTTCTTTTATGAGCAATTCTACATTTCTAAGAGAAAAGATACTTCATTTTTATATAAAGCATTTTACAACTGCTTTGTAAAAATGCATTCATAATGCCATTAATCTTTGCTTTTGTGCTTTATGTCTTCTCAGGACAAAGATTCTTTGAAATATGTACTTGGTCATTTAACTTTTATTTATTCATTTGTTTTTAATGAACTACCTCTTGTTGAAATTTTGCTGATTTCATTCTTTCTGGATACTTGTGTCCTCTGGTCCTACCACTCTTCCATAGCACTCTTTCCCTAAGCACAGTATCCATAACTGGGCACTTCTAACTTTTACCTTGTAATTGCTTCAACAGGGGTTTTATCTTCCTTTCTGGAATATAAGCTCCATTAGAACAAAGCTTTTCTATTTCTTAACTTTGAAACCTCCCAGTAGGAGTGTCAGGAATAGGTATGCTATTAATTGCCAGTTGGATGGATTTACTATTTTATTAACATTATCTCTTTTTTCAGTAAACATATATATATATATATATATTTTTTTTTTTTTTTTTTTGAGATGGAGTTTCGCTCGTTACCCAGGCTGGAGTGCAATGGCGCGATCTCAGCTCACCACAACCTCCGCCTCCTGGGCTCAGGCAATTCTCCTGCCTCAGCCTCCTGAGTAGCTGGGATTATAGGCACACGCTACCACGCCCAGCTAATTTTTTTGTATTTTTAGTAGAGAAGGGGTTTCACCATGTTGACCAGGTTGGTCTCGATCTCTCGACCTCGTGATCCACCCACCTCGGCCTCCCAAAGTGCTGGGATTACAGGGTTGAGCCACCGCGCCGGCCAACTCAGTAAACATAATTTTAAAATTACCTACTTTGCATTTATACTGACCTCGCCTTTTGTTAGATTATTTATGAGACGTTTTCATCATTGAATAATATCAAAAACAGGATCTGTGACTAAAGCTTTAAAACTAGCTATAAAGTAGCAGACAACTAGTGGCTGAGGTTAAGGAATGTAACCCTCTGTTATGGGTTGAATTGTGTCCCTCCAAAAGATATATTGAAGTCCTAACCCCTGTATCTTGTGAACATGACCTTATTTGGAAATAGAGTTGCAGATACAGTCAAATTAAGATGTGATCATTAGGGTGGGGCCCAGATCCAGTATGATTGGTGTCTTTGTAAGAAGAGGAAGCCAGTTGTGGTGGCTCGTGCCTGTCATCCCAGCACTTTGGGAGGCCGAGGCGAGTGGATCACTTGAGGTCAGGAGTTTGAGAACAGCCTGACCAAAATGGTGAAGCCTCCTGTCTACTGAAAATACAAAAATTAAGGCTGGGCACGGTGGCTCAAGCCTGTAATCCCAGCACTTTGAGAGGCCGAGGCGGGTGGATCACGAGGTCGAGAGATCGAGACCATCCTGGTCAACATGGTGAAACCCCGTCTCTACTAAAAATACAAAAAATTAGCTGGGCATGGTGGCATGTGCCTGTAATCCCAGCTACTCGGGAGGCTGAGGCAGGAGAATTGCCTGAACCCAGGAGGCAGAGGTTGCGGTGAGCCGAGATCGCGCCATTGCACTCCAGCCTGGGTAACAAGAGCGAAACTCCGTCTCAAAAAAAAAAAAAAAAAAAAAAAAAGAAAATACAAAAATTAGCCAGGTATGGTTGTACATGCCTGTAATCCTAGCTACTTGGGAGGCTGAGACAGGAGAATTGCTTGAACCGGGGAGGTGGAGGCTGCAGTGAGCCGAGATCATGCCACTGCACTCTGCCTGGGTGACAGAGCAAGACCTTGTCTAAAAAAAAAACCCTAAGGAAAGGCATGACTAACATATTCCAGGTTTGACAAGGAGGCCAATTTGGCTCACATAGAATGAGCAAGGAGAAGAAAAGCAATAGATGGGGGAGTGATGGGCATATCTTATAAGGATACATCTTACTGAATGAAACAGGGTGCCCTTCGAGTTTTCTGAATGGAATAACGACAAGATCTGGCTTGTTTAAACTAGGTTATTCTGGATGTTGTGTTAGGAATAGAGTTTAGAGAGACAGACTGAAGCAGGAAAGTCAGTTAAGAAACCATTGCAGTAATCCCAGTGAGATGATGGTTTAAACCAGGGTGCTAGCAGTAAAGATCAGAAGCCTGATTGGACATATGGAGGGCAGACCAACAGGACTTTCTGATAAATATGGTGTTGATGTTTCAGTTACCTTTTGCTTTGTAACAAAGTTCTAAAAGTTAATGGCTTAAAACAATACGAATTCTATTTGCTTATGGTTTTGTGGCTCAGGAATTCAGGCAAGACTCAGGTGAGCAGTTCTGTTCCATGTCGTATGAGCTAGAGATAGTCACCTGGCTGTATGTAATTGGTGTGCTGGGATGGAAGGTCTAGGACAGCGTTGTTTACAAGTCTCAGTGTCAGTGCTCTTCACATGGCTTCTCTGTCTTCCACATGCCTCTCTCCATGTGGCTGGCTTAGGCTTCCTCAGCATGGCAGTCTCAGGGTACTGACTTTTCACTTGGCAGCTTGCCAAGCCCCACTGTGTGAGTTCTCCACACACTGCATCATGCTTTCTGTTGTCCTGTTAGCCAAAGCTAGTCACAGGACCAAGCTCACAGCGAATATGGGAGGGGAATATTGAAGGACACTTTTACAATGGGGTTGGAGAGCTAGGAATCAATAATGTTTCCAGTATTTTTCATCCATGCCACTAGAAGGATGGTGTTAACTGTTAATAGGGAAAAAAGGGGAAAACTA